ACCTCTTCTTTTCAAAGGGGCTGAGGTAGGTAGAAGGTGAGTGGCTGAAAAGTAAGGCAAGATGTGACAACCCTTTTGAAAGTAAAGATCAGTTTGCTTTAACTCCAGCATGTTTCCTGTTATTGGAACAAATCCCCCAGAAGCAATCTGCAAAGCTCTAGAAAGTACAGGAGGCAGGGTAATCACCAACATGAGTTGGTGGACAACAAATCATGTCAGCCCAGTCAAATTCCCTTTTACCCAGTGACAGCCTTATAAACAGAGGGAAAAAACGATGCCATATATCTTGGCTTCACAAGGCTTTTGACGGTGATTCCCATAACGTACTCATAAACAAGATAGTGAAATGTGGTTTAGACCAGAATCTTGGAGGAGTAATTAGTTATTGCTCATTGTTCAAAGATTCCTTTGTTTGACAATCTACATCAATGAGATTACCTAAGATTTCCTACCAAATATTTTTAATGACTCATATTAAATTACATGTAATTTCATAAAATTCACATTAAAAAGCAGCATATATAAAGAAAAACTTAAATTAAAATACTACACTCAGAATAGTAAGAAGTCATTTCCATTTGGTGGCCCTGGGAGCCTGTTTCGGAATCATTTACACAAAGTATACTAATATCCATTGAATATGAAGGTTTTCCCATTTTCCATTCCATCTCCCTTGGAATTATATTGTCCAGTGAAATGCAAAATAGGGCACTGCTTTTGGATCAGTGGGAGGCTGTGGAATTGTTTGCTGAAACATCATTTGCCCATTGTTGTCACACTTCCCTTTCAAGTGCCATGCTTTTATTACAAACTGATTGACCATAGCTATGTAGTCAAAGGCACCACTCAAAATCAAGGTAGATTACATCTCAGAAATGTATAAGAATTGCCAGGCAACTGCATCTGGGGAGGTCTCTCCCTGTGCATCAGGTGAAGCCTCAACCTGGACGGGGGAGGGTTCTTGACTCTGAACAAGAAAGAATTCTCAAACTGATCAGACGAGTGTGAGTAAGGAAGGAATTCATTAAAGAAAGAGCAACAGGGAATGGCAGCTACTTTGCAGGCAGCAGAGAACGGAAAATGCAGAGAGAAAGAGGGAAAGTTCTCAGCCCAGGGCAGGTTCCCTTGCCAATTCTTAAAGCCAGGGTCACTTGGCATCCTGTGTCCACTTGGACCTGCATGGCATGGGACCTAGCCCCCACCACCCAGGATTTGGGGGAGTCATGGAGCAGAGGATGGAGTGAGACTATGTTCTGAGAACTTCCCAAAAAAAGAGATTTTCAGGTAGGCTACTAAGAGCAGATCGCCCAACTGCAGTTTCTCCAGGCCACCCAGGCAATGGGTACTTGCAAGCCCAAATTTGAGCTCTTAGCAACCCCTTCCTACTAATTAGGAGTAAAGCGGAAACAGTGAAGACTTGGAAATAAAATGAAATAGCAAAGAGACAAATCGCAATAATTTGAGCAGTGAGAAAGCTTTACTTGAAAGTACACGTTTAAGGAAAGGAAAGTGCAGGCATCCTCTGAGAGGAGGCGCACTGAAAGGTTGGGATTCTGTCTTTTAAGGCTTCCCAGAAAGGAACAAAGGGCAGAGGCATTTGTTGGGCGTAGGCTTGACTGTGGTTTCAAGGTGCTTGTCTCTGGTGAGACACCATATCTCCTCTGTTATCAGTCCTCCCGCTAATTCTGCTAAATAAACCCAACACAAGGGATTTATTTACCCTGTTTTTCTCCAGGATAGTGCTTACCCTCAAGAGGTGGGAGCATATCACTTAAGACTGCTTACCCTGCCTTAAGGGAGGCTGTTGGCTGATTACTAAAGAGTGTGTTAGGAATCTTACTTCTCAACTCTGTCTTTTAAAATGGAATCTTAACTTTCAGATGGGGTCCTTTCTGTTCTTATTATACTGCTCATATCTCAGCATTTTTCATGATAAGCAGGTAAAGTTAATCATGATGCTTGTTCCATGTCCCTGTCCTACCTCATAAGCAGATAATCTTAGAACTGGAAATCTATTTTAATACAACATAATAAAATAAAATAAGACACTGACATAATCTTGATGGAGGAGAAAAAGTTTACCATTTGGTACTGGCAATTCATTTAAATGTAAAGTTGAACATAATTTGAAAACATTTCATTTAGAATATATTCATGAAATAGTCTACAGTCTGTCAGCTTTTGACAGTAGGATTATGGTAACATTATAACATAAATGACTTTGTGAATTAATTCTCTGTTTTCTATAATTGACTAATAAAATCATCTGATACCATAGATTTTTTAGAAGTAATATTTCAGTAATTTCAAATTTCTCACAATTATTAGTCTAAGTTTTCCCTTTCCTTTTGAATTGATTTTGGAAGTATAAATAATCCAAGAACGTTTCTCCATTCACCAAGAATTTTAAAGTATTTTCATTAAATTACACATAATAAAACATGGGTTCTTTTGTCATGACTTACTAAATTTATTTTTGCCTCATAATCCTCACATTAAAATAATGCTTACTTTATAATATTTTTAATAAAGGATAAAAGAGTTAAAACATGCAAAACTCAGCACAGGATATTGTCAAATAGTCTTTATTATCATTGTTACTGCTATTATTGTCCTTTCCTAAAATACAAATACTTCTGCATTTATCATATCATCTTTCTTATTACTTTTCTCCACTTTTTTATTGATTCACTGACTTAGATTTCCAAGGGTTTATTTCTTTCCTTTTCCCTTTAAGTAACCTACCACTGTGCCTATCCTTTTATTTCATCATTTTGAGTCATTTCTTAGCTGTCTATCACTTAGAATGCTTTCTCTTGCAAGTGTCAGAAAATCTAACCTACATTAGCTTGAACACAAGTGCATTTAGGGCTCAGTTCCTGAAGTGGGGCCAGTTCTAAATGCAGGTATCAATGATAGAAAAATGAACCAAAAACTGTGATATTCTTTATATTTCTTTACTCTTTTCCTTACCTTTACCCCTTTGGTCTCCATATGTATGGATATATATATAATATAAAATCACATATAATATGTATGAGTATTGAATATATGTATATACATTTATAAATATAAAGAAAATATATTTTACCAGTAGTATACATCAGACTTTCTTTTTCATTAAGAACAAATTAAAAAATTGTCTATGGGTCCCTTATAATGAGTGTTGCTCTGGGAGAAGGGAGGTTCCCCACTCTGGACAAGTTCACTAGGAATTTGATGAGAACTAATAATGACAAGGGAAGGTTAACGGTAAAAAGGCACTCGTACCAAGCATTATTCTCAGGCAGCAGGTTGAGCACTAGACCCCTGTCCACCTAATAATGAATTTTGTGTGCTGGTGGCCATTCTACCTCACCTAATATATCGTTCTCATGACTCTCTCCTTTCTTATTGGGAAGAAAGGCCGAATCCCCACCGGAGCAAGAGGGAGGCTGTTACTGCCCTGACCATTGAGATCCTCGTCTCCCTAGGGATAGCAGGGGCAGGCACTGGGGTCACAGCCCTCGTGACACAGGAAAAAGGGCTCACAACCCTGAGGCTGGCAGTCAACAGGGACCTAGAACAGCTCCAACAGTCAGTATCAAACCTGGAGCAATCCCTCACCTCCTTGGCAGAGGTGGTCCTACAGAACCGAAGAGGCCTGGACCTCTTGTTCTTAAAAGAAGGTGGGCTATGCGCAGCCCTAAAAGAAGAATGCTATTTCTATGTATATAAGACAGGTGCAGTTAGAGATTCCTTAGCCAAACTAAAAAAAGATCTTGACAGGCGGCGTAAATAATATGAAAGCAGCAGCAAAGAAGGCTGGTTTGAATCTTGGTTCAAGCACAAGCCATGGTTTGCTACCCTCCTCTCGGCCATTGCAGGGCCACTGGTCATCCTGATGCTTTTGCTTACCATCGGCCCGTGTATAATAAATAGGCTGCTTAAGTTTGTGCAAGAGAAGTTTGACACCGTCCAACTCCTGGTCCTTCGCCAAAAATATCAGGCCCTAGATACCGCTGCGGAAGATTCCTTAGTCTGATCAAGAAAAGGGGGGAAATGTAAAGGAGGGCAGAGGGCATCAAGAGTCAGGAAAAAGGACTAATAACATTTAACCTAACTGCCTAAAGCATGGGCCACCCAGTTTTGAATAAACAACCCAAGGCTAAGCTTAGAAATGTGCCTGCTTTAAGTTAGATAACTAGAAGTGGGCAACAGCCTGGGGGCGTGATCTGTGATAAGTCACATAGACATGCTTGGGTAAGCAAGAGATAACAATTGAAGCGGTCAGGCAACTGGAGTGTTCCCTAAAAGGTTACAATATAGAATGTGTTTTAAAATTATTGGTTGTAGAAATGCGTGGGCTTCGGTGTAACGGCTGTGAAAATCCTATATAAGCAATACCTAAAGTTGCCTGGGGGTCGGCAGCTCAGACTCAGCCTGCGTGTCAGGGGAGGTGCTGTCGACCCCAGCTTGCTGGCTGAATAAAGACTTTTCCTGTACTTACATCTCCATGCCTGTGTGCTTTGTTCTCTCGGGAAAACCCTAAGTTCCTGGACCCTAACAGTACAAACAAGTAACATCCTCTTCAGATACGTTTATTTTGAAATAATATATGCCCATAATGCCAAGGCTTTTTTAAGACTCTGAGTTAAAGTATGCTCACTCTCTCTCTCTGTCTCATCAATCAAAGGAACCTGGTTTCATAATTAAAAAGTACTAATTTCTCTTGGTTTTAAAAGAAGTGTCCCTATGTTCACTACAAATCACCAAGATGCTCCATTTTAACACATTGTACATGTTAAATGTACGTATTAAAAGTAAGAAGTATAACATCCCTGACAGACTTCATTGCAATTTTTGGAAGGTTGTACATAAAATGGGAATCTAAATTCTAATTTAAACCACTAAAACCCTAAACAGTACAAGAAATTAATGGAACTATGTTTTCTAACCACATGTGCATTAAGAAACCACCAAACTAAGAACAGTTCCTTACCTCCAATATGTAGATTGCTGAGAAATCTCTTCTCGTGAAAACTTATGAAGGAGCAGAATACAACTGGATTCTCACTTTGTGTCAGACGATGATCTTGTTTTGATGACAGATGATGATGATAAATAGCTAGATACATTGATAGATACATACATACACACATACATACATACATACATAGACAGATGGTAGATAGATGAAAAGCTCCCTCAGCTTAAAAAGTGGCCATCTTTCACAATGCAAATTGATGCAATAGAAAAACACATGTACAAGCTATTCACTGCAACACTGTTTAACAATATGAAATACTGGAAACAACCTATATTCTCATTCATAGGTAAATGAATAAACAGGTTGTTATTTTTGAATCCTAAACACTCCCTTGACTTCACTTTGCTTTTCATTCCATCTACCACCATATGTCTTCTGGAAATATTTGTCTATATTTGCTGTCTCAAATTATTATCCTTCCACCTTCTTTTAAAACTACTCCAATCAGACATTCTACCCAACTGGCCATGGAAATTCAATTCAAAGTCACCAGTGGTCCCCAGATAGCTAATTATCAGTTCGCAGGTCCCTTCTAACTTGACCCAGGGGCATCATTTGATAGAGCCAATTACTCCTCTTGCAAACACTTTATTCATTTTGTTACAGTTTATCATACTCCCCTGATGTCCCTCCTACCTCATGAGATGTTCCTCCCCTTGTGATTTCATCCAGTTTTATGGCTTCAAATACTATTTATACTCTTAACAACTCCTCTGCTAGATATCTTCTGCTTGCCCCTCCAAATTCACTCTATATTCTTCATGCCTTCTTTTTGCCATAGAAGGAGCATATTTCCTGCTAACCCTCCTCAGGCAATCATCCTCATAAAACTCAGTCCCCAGCTTTTATTAACACTCCTTTCCCTGGTACCTTTAGCCCAGGGTTAGCAAAGCCTCTCTTCTGCTACTACTAGCTTCAGGGTGCTGCACCACACATTGTGTTTTCTCTAAATTATGGAAATATTTTCTTTATTACATTTTTCTCCATTACTCAACCTAAATATGGTATCTATCTAAAGCATAATAATAACATTCAAATTTTGAAATGAAAGATGTAGGAAGTGGGAAATAAATCTTGCACCATCATCACTAGTGGCCACATGTGTACTTAAGACAGCGGTTGGAGGCATCTGATGCAGGGGGCATACATAGATGATGCAGGACTCCCAGAATTAAATATTCAAAATTCACATCTATTCAGGGACATGTGACATAAGCAGAAACAAATGCTTTGGTAGGACTTGGAAAATATATTTAAATCTCCAAATATATCGGACTAGTTAAATATCAGGAGAAAGATACTGAGATACTAGAGTTGAAATCCATATCTGTAGAAATGAATAAATAATATAATAGAAGTAGTGATCTAATCCTCATGATGCCAAAGGATGAGAACCCCAAACATTCTACTTGAGTAAGGTAGGCTGACCCAAAATGTGCTACTTTGGCATGTGGATTATTTTGAATTAAGAGTTACTTAAGAAATAGCCAGTGCAAGAATACACTGATCCCTTTTTGTCCTCCTAAAAACAGGAAGTAAATCTTGGGAAAGGTACCTTCCCTGTACCAGGAGGTAAAGAAACACAGTTTACTTTGTCCTGTCTATTCCTTACAGATTTATTATGTCCTTGTCTAAAAAGTATAAAACTGCCTGTCTTAGTCATTTTCCTTAGGTCTCAAGGAATGAATCCTGGGTGCACATAATTAAACTTTGGGGGTTTTTTTTTTCCTGTTAATCTGTCTCATGTCAATTTAATTCTTAGACCAGCTAGAAGAACCTTAAAGAGTAGAAGAAAATATTTCCTCCCCAATAGTAACTCTGTCATGATACTTGCTATATCTCTGTATGGTTGTCAGAGAATTCCATCTTTATTCTTTTCAAATACAATTAATTTGAAGACTCCTTAAATCACAGGGCTCCCTCCTCAATCTGCAACTATATGGAAAAAAATGCAAAAGGCATAATATCTGATGTTTTGTCATCACTTAATCAACAAAAAACTTTCCACTTAAAATCCACCCATCCCCCCAGCACCCTGGGAAATATACATTTAATAGCACAACATAACATCAATTATGGAAAAATAACAGCCTAGTAAGGAATTAACATTTTTTGATTGGCAAAATGCAAGTCAAGCTGGCTTAAACAAAAATGGACAAATTTAATTCACATAAATAAAATTCCAGTAGCAGAACTGGATTCAGGCTAGTCATGATCCAGTCGCTTGATATTACCATAAAAGCAGTTTCTCTTTCACTCTCCACTGTGCTCTCGCTGGTGTTCTTAATCCTTAAACCACACACTGCCTCTTCTCCTCCACTAACACAAACTTCAGTTATCCCCTTGTGATGGAGAATGGCTGCCATCGTTTCAGCCCTCACATACTAACACTTCACCATCCAGGGAAACACAGTCTCTTTCTCCTCTGATACAAGGTCCTGGAAATCACTGCCTCTCGATATAAATGTGTCATGTATTCCACCCTAGCCCAACCACTGTGCCCAAGGAAATGGGGCCTAAAAATAGGGTAAAGCCAACAGAGATCCACCCCTGAATCAACCCACAAAAGTGAAAATGACAGGTAATATGAGCTCTTCAAAGGATGATTAGGGAACATCTGGTGAGAAAGAAAGGAATGAGTGCAGGAAGAGAATAAATTTCTCCTACAAAGAAAGGAAAGAAAAATACTTTCCTTCTACCCTTCTAAATTCTCAGATGCAGCCCCTGTGATAAAAGACAGATTAACAAGAGGAAAACAAACAGATGTTTATCATCATGTATACCTCATATGTGCATGGGAGAAACCAGGGAATAAATAGTTCAAAGAGGTGGCTTAGTATTTCAACAAAGAAAAATACATTTGTAGAGAAATGATAGGAAAAAGGAATGTGGCTTTAGGCTTCCAGGGGTGGCAAACTGTGGGAAGGTAAATAAATAAGGAAAATAATGGAGTAAAGGTTTGTTTGCAGATTCACTGGTGCCAGCTCTGGGCTGATAAGACTTGACTGTTGTCCTGCTTTTAGGCAAAAATGGGGATGGTATAGATAGTTCTTCCTGCATTTACTGCTGCTTAACTGTCCTCATCTCAATATAATTTTTATGGCAAAAAGGCATATTTTGGGATAACGTATTCTGGTTCCTTCCAAGGTGTAAGTGGAGGAATTAGTTATTACCAGAGTAATCATTTAGCTTATTGCCCAAACCCGAGTACTTTTGAGAGTAAAAGTAAATGTTATTAATAATTGGCTAGCACAGCAGTTGTAAATCAGGACAGTTCCAGACAAACTGGGAAATATGCTACCTTTGGAACTCCAGACCCTTATCTCTAATTGCTGAAATCTCTTCTTTGATGTTTCATAAGCACTTAAAATTGGAGAATTCCAGGAAGATGGCAGCATAGAGAGAGCTTAAACCTGCCTCCTACCTTCACACCAAATCTACACCTACACATAGAGCAATTCATCTTGAGAAAAAACTGAGGACTGAGTGAGCATCTTCTGCATAAAAAGAGATAGAAAGATCACATTAAGAAACATCAGGAGAGATGGAGACACAATAATGAAGGGACTACCACGCGCAACTCAGTGACCCACAGAAGGGAGGGTTACTACTGGGCAACGTGGACACAGATTCCCTGCTCTGGGGCATAGAAAAAAAGCTGCACTTCAAAGTGCATCTAGACTATAAGTGAAAAAAAAAAACTATTTATAGAACTAAAGCACTGCTGTTTGATGGGGAATGGCTAGAACTCCCTCTGGATCAGAAGTCTGGCCATTTTTTGCACTCCTTTCCCACACTGAGGGTGATGTAGGGAGCAGGGTTGGGGTGCACATCAGTTTAAGACTTGGTCTAGGTGACTTCCCAGCCTCTGTGCACACCCAGACATGTTAGCTGGAAACAAATTCAGGCCCCAGCTGCCCCAAGGGCACAACGCCAGTCATTGCTGACCCCCTGTAGAGCATGCCTTGTCTGCCACTGCACCTCAGGCACCTCCCAGCTGCAGAGGTGGGGCTTCCCCAGAGCCAGTCATAACTGAGCACCTGAGCTGATGCTGCAGCACAGGCATGGAGCCAGTAGCTGCAGAGACAGGGCTTTCCTGGAGATTGTGCTTGGATGTGCTGCCTCCCAACCAGCATGGACCCCATAAGTATCTGATTAGGCCCCTCCAACTGTGCCCCCCTCAAACCACTTCCATGACAACCCTAACACCCGTATATCCCCAGTTTACATTCACAAGGCCTCTAGCCAACAAACCAAAACCAGGTTCAGTCTACCCAGGGGACCTTCCCTATACAAGGACAACCCTTCACAGCTGGAAGAAGGAGCCTTTTCTACTAATTCATAAAAGCAAGCACAGAAAGTCAAAATGAGGAGTCAGAAATATACTCAGACCAAAAAAATATATATAAAACTTCAGAAAAAGAACAATGCAAATAAAAACAATGGAAAATGGAACAGAGTTAGGCAATCTAGTGGATGAAGAGTTCAAATTAGTTATTGTAAAGATGCTCACTAGGCTTGAGAGAAGAGTGGAGGAAATCAGTGAGAACCTCTACAAAGAAACAGAAAGCATGAAACAAAACCAATCAGAGATGAAAAATACAATAAATGAAATAAAGAATACACTACATGGAATCAACAGCGGATTAGAGAGTGTAGAATGGATCAGTGACATGGAAGAGTAAAGGAAGGCACTCAATCTAAGAGGAAAAAAAAGAATAAAAGAGAGGAAGATAGGTTAAGGGAGCTCTGGACAATATCAAACAGCCAAGCATTCACATTACAGGAGTCCTAGAAGAACAAAAGAGAGAAAAAGGAGTAAAAAAACATATTTGAAGAAATAATAGATGAAAACACCACCAACCTAGGAAAGGAAACAGATATCCAGCTCCAGGAGGTGAAAAGAGCCCTAGTCAAGATAAATCCAAGGAGATCCACACCAAGACACACCATAATTAAAATATTGAAGGTCATAAACAAAGAGGGACTCATAGAAGCAGAAAGAGAAAAGCACCAATCAGCAAGAGAAAAATAAGGAAAACCCCATAAGGCTAGCAGTGGATTTTTCAGCAGAAACT